CAATGAAAAGCAACAAGTAGAGAGAAAATAGGTGATGTATGTTCTCGATGCGTAATGAGCTGAGAAATGATGCTGCAAGCCTAGTGACAAAGTAGCTATGATACAGTATTACGCCAGGCACATATGGAATTAGGACAGTAACGATTTCAAAATCAGTGACGATTCATCAGCGACATGAAGGACCCGCCAAGACAGAATACCAGCCTTTTAGAGCGCCAGTACTCCTGCCCGACCGCCCGGAATTTTAAACGGCCACATGCCTTCACCTGGTGCAGGAAGGATGGGCTTGTTGCAGAAGTTCACCAGGGGCTTCGGGGTGCTGAGCGTCAGCGGGCGCAGGCGCGTGCCGTAGCCGCCCCACCAGGATCAGCGCCTTCATCGCGCCGGCGGCGGGCGGGCGGCCGGAGACTGAGTGCGCGCTCCGCGGAGACCGCGGCCGCCTGGCCGACCCCTGTCACTCACTCCGGCCGCCGGGCCCAGCCCCGGGTCCTTCACGTGCCAGACTGACCAACTCTGGGGCTGTCCTTTCCGCCCAGGACGCCCCGACGCCGATTTCCGGGCCCACAAACCAGGATGCGACGCGGGCTGGACGGCAGCGGCCCCAAACTCCGCCGGCCCCGGGCGGCGGTGACGTGGGCCCGGGCGGGCCAATCGGCTGCCGCGTACGTGGCACGTTCGCCGGCGTCGAGGCGCTGGGCGCAGCTCTGGCGGACGTAGCCAATGAGAGTCCGAGCGCGCCCGGTTGCTATGGGGACCGCGATTGGGACCCGCGGGTCAGCTGGCCATTGGCGGATCCGAAGGCGGAACTGGCGCCAAGGGCGAGGCCGCTTGCTCCCGGTGCCCGCGGAGTCCGCCGCCCGGCCGGCCCCCGCCCGGGAGGAGCGCACCGACCCCGGGGTGGGCGCCGCCTGTCTTCTGGGACCCGCGGGGTCTTCACAGAGACGCACACACGCCAGAGTTTCAGCGGCTTTATTTTGACGGACACAACCTCAGACACAAGCGGGGGGCAGCGCGGGGTGGACAGACGGGAGCAGCTCGGCCCAGGGTCTAAGCACCCCTCCCCCGCACATCGTCCCGAAAACACGCACTGCGCCCGACGTGGCCCCAGCCACGAGGATCGCAGCGCAGGCTTCGGGCGGCGTGGACAGAACAGTGGAGCAGGAAGCGGGTCCCAGAGGCAAAGCCTCCCAGTCCGGGAGAAGCAAAGGGTCCCCCCAGGTTCTCCACATCTCCTCCTCATTAAACCATTTGTAAATGGGCACGAAGAAAACCAAGTTGAAGAGCATTGAAGCGCAAAGCAATCTGCATCTAGGGGGCGTGCATGTGGCCAGGTGTGAGCGAGTGAGCAGCGGCTATTGAACTAGCCTAGGCCTTTGGCCCCTTAGGAGTCCCCACGCCCCCTGCACAGGCCCCAATGTGAGGGAGGGTGGGGGTCCCTGGCTAATTGCTATACTGGTCCCCTTCCTCTGTAAGCACCACCCAATCCCACCCCCCAGGGGCTAGTGTCACTTGGCCTAAGGAAGCGCTATGGACAAGGGTCACTCGAGTGCTCCAACCGCGATCCCATGTTGCACTTTGGTCCCAAGTTGGGGCTGGGAAGGCAGGGCCCGGCGGGCACAGGGCGCTGGCAGGGCAGGGGATAGGGGTGGGCGCACACACATGCCCACCACCTGCCCGCTAACAAGGCTGGGTCTCCAAGTGTCAAAAGTGCTGAAAAGAGGGGACCCCCCTGGGGGAGAAGCAGCCAATCCCAGGCCCCTGTTCTTTTTAGTGCCAGGAAGACACTGTAAGAGGGTACATCTGCTCCCCAAATACAGAACTCGGGAGGCGCAGCACACTCCAGGGGCCCCGTCTCAGCCTCTGCCTTGCCAGGAGAGGGCGGGCTTCACTATGAAGAGCTACTGCCCTATGGCTGAAGCCACAGAAGGTACAGGAGCAAAGACGGCCGTTACTGACCAGAAACGAGCAAGCTGTCCCTCCCAGGCCCAAGGAATGGGACCTGCCCACCACCGGCACCAGGGTCAGAGGCCGAGAGAGATGGGACCCATCAAGGAGCCCACTGAAGATGCGTGAGGCTGCATCTGAGGGCCAGGAAACCATCAGTGACCAGGGCCTCACAGACACGGGCTAGCGAGCTTACCTGTAATGCCCAAACAGGACATGCCCAAGGTGACAATGGCCGTGGCCCCAGGCTCTGCGGTGAGGGCACTGGCCCTGGCAATGGTTAGGTGACAGCAGTGTCGCCTCTGGCCAGTGTTGGACGTGGCAGGCCTCTGCCACGAAGGGCCGGCAGCAAGAACGAACTACCACCTCGGGGAGGACGGGATCCCTCCAGGGCCTGCCCCGCACCACTGTCAGTACTGAGTGTTGAAGGGACCACACTCAGGCCACAGAGAGGGTGCTGGGCCAGCAGGGACACGCCTCCCACAATGCATTCTGCTCATTCTTTGTAAAGAGGCCGCACCCGCTGAAGGGCGCAGGGGCAAAGCTCACCTCGGAAACGGGAGCGAGACCCTTTGCTGAGGAAAGCAGGGCGGGAATCAGTCTTCACTAATGAAGGCGACACCCAGGGAAGGACCCTGAGAGACTGGAGCTGGCAGATGGACAAATGGACAGACGGACGGGCTCCAGGACTGAGAAGACAAAACTCTCCCAGCAGAGTCGGAGCCCCGCATCAGGTGCAGACCGTGTCCCTGTGCAGGCCAGCTCGCAGCTCTCCCTCCTCACCTGGGCTGTGGCCTTGAGCTTGGCTGGGGAAGTGAGCCCTGAGCGGACCACAGCCTGAGCCTGCGGGGAGCAGCCCACCCAGAGTAGCAGAGCTGCCCGCAGGGCAGGAAGAGGACGTCCAACCACAGCACGAGGCCTGCGGACTCTGTCTCACTGGAGGCCCCGAGGCCCCGAGGCCTGGTGGGACAGACTCTTCGGCAAGCGGAGCAGGGCCCCCCTTTGGTGGGACAAGGGGCGGGGGACTCCTTAGGCAGGGATCTTGGTGGGAAAGGCTGGCTGGGTGTGCAGACAGGAAGAGGAGCAGGTGCAAGTGCCGGAGTGCCTGGGAATCCAGGGCCTGCCCTCTGCCCTAAGCTGGCTTCAGCCCAGGTTCTGAATCTAGCCTCCTGCCAAGAACAGATGAGAAGGATGGGCCCAGCTGTGCACAGCTG